CTCGTCATCGATTCATTCAGGGCAGAAGAAGAGTCACGTGACGCCTTAACGCCTCCTTTAATGAGAACAGAGTCTGAAGCAGGAAGCTGAACCTCCTTCATGATACCTGTGGACTCTGCTGGAGCTTTGGTTCATGTGGAGCCGCTACACAGAGAAGGTCTGGATCTGTTGAACTGGCTTCGTAGTTCAACCCTCTGGTCATTAAAAAATAACTAAGCGACTGAACAAGGAGACGAGTGAGGGAGGCCACAGACTCCTACGACTCCTCTGGAGGAGTTTCCAGCTTCAGAGACTGTTCATCCATCTTCACCATCAAAGCTTTATGGGAGCCAAAGAGAAAGACTCTGTTGGAAAAAGCTCAGATTAAATGTGGACTGGAGGTCACCAGAAGACATGTGGAGGCTCTGAAGGCGTGTGAAGGTAGAGGGTGAATGGATGCAGCAGAGCGTAGAGAAATCCTGGAGGACAACCTGATGCAGTCTGCAGGAGAACTGAGACGTGGAGAAGACTTGGTTTCCATCAATGAGCCAAAGCTCCACAGAAATGGCTTGAAGACATCAAGGTGAAGTTCTGGAGGCCCAGTCCGAGTCCAGACCTTGGTCCAGCTGAGAATCAGAGTCTGGGCCTGAAAAGTTCTGTTCCTTCGTGATCCCTGTGGAACCTGACAGAGTCTGAACAGTTTCATCAGAACAATGAGGTGAAGCTGCAGCGTCCAGATGTTCAGACTGATGGAGACCAACAGGACCAGCTGAAGGTCCATCTCCTGAACACTGATGAAGCTCTGATTGTAAATTAATTAAAACACATGATTTAGTAGAACTCTGTTTTCACTTTGACACGAAAGATATTTTTTATAAAGTCTATCAAAAAGCCTGATTAAACGGACTGATGTGGATTCAGTGGGACAAGGCAGCGAGGAGGAGAACGTCCAGGAAGTGAATCCTGTCAACCGACACACACACTCCATACATATCTATATCTATATGTGTGTGTGGGATGAGTGAAGTGTTCCTGATGCTGATATATACTCACTCACAGACAGAGAGGATGTGAGCTGCAGCTTCTTGCAGCAGCTAAACCACAGCAACAGCTGGCAGGCAAGGAATTAATCTTGTGTGTTATTAAAAGATTAGATAATGGCTTATTTATGTGGGGGCAGGAGGGGCAGGAGGGGCAGGAGGGGCAGGATGGAGGGAGCAGATGAAAGCCACAGAAAAACAAGAAATGTCAGAACGAGGAGGCGGGTACGTACGGGGCGGAGCGTCCACGCCTCCCAGGACGGCGAGTCGAGCCGACATCAGGCCCAGACCCAGATAGCTGCAGACAGAACAGGTGATGGATCAGCCCATGATCAGCTCTGTGACCATGAACTTCACTGAAACACGTCGTGGTAAAGGTGAAGTGACAGAATGACCAAAGGATGGAGCGGATCGATCAGTGTGTCAGGACAGCTGCTGGTACCGGGACAGAGACCCGGTTCTACCACTATTACAAATACTTCACAAAACTTAAAGCAACAAAAACAAAAATGTCATCAAACATGTAAATCTTTACCTGCAGTAAAGAAAACACCATAAAGGACAGAACAGGATGAGAATAAACACATGAAGGTGGCGCAGAACCAAACAGAACCAACATATGAATCCGGACCGCACCCTGACTGCAGCCCACAGAACCGACACTGGACATGACGGACGGGACGGGACGCAGCAGCAAGTCAGTGATGCAGATAAAACAGTGGCATGGACATAAATCCACTGGACAGAGGGCAATAGACATAAACCCTAACCC